TGCAATTTTATTCTCATTTCTACTCAGTTCAGCTAGACACTAGTTCCATAGTTTTGACCATAGTCCACCGTCAAAACTTTTTGGAGTTATTATCCTATGCAGAGAGGGGAGGTGGAAATGATGTCTCTTATAGGCAATAGGATTCTTCTTTTCCCATGTCTTCTTTCCATTATAACTTAGGATGGTTGTTTTGCTTTTGCCTTGTCAGCAAGTTGTTTCATCTAAATTATTTTACTTATGATTATTATTAGATTTTTACCTCACCTTTTAATATAGTTTGGGAAATTCAAGGTGGTAAACATATGTACTCTTATTTTCCCACAACAACCACCTTGTGAAGCAGGGGTCGTCAAACTTGCCTGGCTGAGGAATTCTGGAAGTTGAAGTCCACAAGTCATAAAAGGGCCAAGTTTGAAGACCCCTGTTGTGAGGTGTGCAGGGCTGAGAGAGAGAGTGACTGACCCAAACTCACCCAACTGGCCTTCATATCTAAGGAATGCCTAGAATTTACAGTCTTCTGGTTTCTAGGCTGACCACTTAATCACTAGACCAAATTCTCTCTCCCCATTCCTGTGTCACTTAATTAATAATAATAGTAAAGTTGGAAGGGACCTTGGAGGTCATCTAGTCCAACTCCCTGCTCAGGCAGGAAACCCTACACCATTTTGGACAAATAGCTGTCCAATCTCTTCTTAAAAACTTCCAGTGTTGGAGCATTTACTGCTTCTGGAGGCAGGTTGTTCCACTGATTAATTGATTAATTACATGAAGTAAGCTTGTATATAGAAAAATGTACACCCAATTTATAATCTCTTCACTGGGCAGAAGCCTCAGAGGGCTAATATGTAAATTTTCCTCAGGAAAAGAACCAATGGATACAAAATGAGCTTTATTACTGAGCAAAAAAAGTTGCCAGCACAGCTGATTTTTTTTTTTTTTTACTCTGCTGGATCTTTCCAGCCAGCCATTTATTGTACATTGCCCAGAGCTGAGTGAGATGAGCTGTTTTTAAATTTGATATATGAATAAAAATAAAATAAATAAATCTTTCACTTGTTGGAAGAGCAATGCATAGCTCCTAGAAGACAATCGAGTTTACGATCGATCTTTGAGTTACATTTTGTCATGTTACATACTTGAACTGCATCTACCTGTACCATTTTGACATAGCCTATAAAGAAAGCTTTCATTATTATTTTTTATATAATGGTAATGCCAAATTGAAACAGATTTTTCTTCCAGGAAATCCAAATCGTGCATTGAAAACAAATTACACCAGTTAAGCATATTGGCATGCCTCTGCTGATTGCAGTTTATTTGGCTTACAAAATGTGAAGCATCAAAGATTTCTGAAGTAAGGCCAACAACAGACTAGGCAAGAAAGGAAACAAATGGAGAAAAGAAAAAAAGTGATATCGAAGGCTTACTATTCTGCTGTGCAATACTGTACTCTAAGTAGCACAGAATAGGATAAAGATCTAAACAAATCTAATCGTGGGATTTTTGTAAAGAACTAATAAAAAGTAAAGCCTTTGTGAAGTCCAAATCTTGGAGCCTACATAAAAATGTTTGGTTTTCTTGGTAATTGTACAAGGGTTTGGTTTTTGGTTTTTTTTGGTAATGCCTTTTTCCAAGACTTTATTTCTCACTTTAACCTACAGTAAGGAAGATGTCCTAATGGTTCTCATTAGGATATCTTGTATTTCTCATTTTTTTATCCTGATCTCTCAAGGTTGGCTGGGTGATGTTCTTTGCTGTGATGGAGTCCCAAAATCCAATGCCTAGTCCAGGGGTAGGCAACCTCGGTTCTTTTATGACTCGTGGACTTCTGAGAGTTTAAGTCCATGAGTCATAAAAGAGCCAAGGTTGCCTATCCCTGGCCTAGTCCCTACATTTTGTTCAACTGTAGTGTAACATTTCATGAGGACTAAAGGAAACATTTTAAATGAAATTTACATCCTAAGAATGTGGTCAAATAACCGCTTTGGCATGCAAGCAGTAAACCTCTTCATAATAGCCAACACTCCAGAAGACAGGCTTAGGATACAGGAGGATCTGGACAGACTTGGACACTGGGTGCTATCTAACAAAATGAAATTCAATGGTGAAAAAAGTAAGGTCCTACATTTAGGCAAGAAAAAACAAATGTATAGGTATAGTATAGGGGGTACCTTGCTCAATAGTAGTAACTGTGAGAGGGATCTCGGAGTCCTAGTGGACAATCATTTAAATATGAACCAGCAGTGTGCTGCAGCTGCCAAAAAAGCCAACACAGTGCTAGGCTGCATTAACAGAGGGATAGAATCAAGATCACGTGAAGTATTAATGCCACTTTACAATGTCTTGGTAAGGCCACACTTGGAATACTGCATTCAGTTTTGATCACCACGATGTAAAAAAGATGTTGAGATTCTAGAAAGAGTACAGAGAAGAGCAACAAAGATAATTAGGGGACTGGAGGCTAAAGCATATAAGGAATGGTTGCTGGAATTGGGTATGTCTAGTTTAACAAAGAGAAGGACGAGGAGGGACATGATAGCAGTGTTCCAGTATCTCAGCTGCTGCCACAAAGAAAAGGGAGTCAAGCTATTCTCCAAAGCACCCGAAGACAAAACAAGAAGCAACGGATGGAAACTAATCAAGGAGAGAAACAACCTAGAACTAAGGAGAAACTTCCTAACAATTAGAACAATTAACCAGTGGAACAACCTGCCTCCAGAAGCGATGAATGCGCCAACACTGGAAGTTTTTAAGAAGAAACTGGACAGCCATTTGTCCAAAATGGTGTAGGGTTTCCTGCCTGAGCAGGGGGCTGGACTAGATGACCTCCAAGGTCCCTTCCAACTTTATTATTTCAAGCCCTTTTGCAACCCTTGAGCTTACCCTTGTTTATTTGTCGTTATTGATATAAGATTTTTTAAAAAGAATTTTAGAGACATACTGCATTTTGGGTGTGCATCTGTATTTCTCAATGTCAGCAACTTTAAGAAGTGTGGACTTCAATTCCCAGGATTCTCCAGCCAGCATGCTGGCTCTGGAATTCTGAGGGTTGAAGTCTGCACCTCAAGTTGCTGAGGTTGAAAAACTGTGGTATATCTTGATAGGACCCTGTACCCCATGGATGAGTCCTGCTTTACAAGTCATTTCAATTCAGTAAGGTGCATTGCTTCACGGGGAGAAAGCATTTAAGAAGAGGCACTCCTTTTGACATTTTGCCTTAAATCATCAGAAGTGATTAGCATTAACATGCAGAACACATATACTGTACAAACCATTTCCACTGATCATATCAAAACTCAGTAACTGCACAGATGTGATTCTATTCTATTCTATTCTATTCTATGTCAAATTGAAGCATTCCTTCAGAGCTCTGTATAATGGGTTATATGCTGTAAGGCTTTCCAGATATAATTGTTTTATGGTTCACATCATCTGTCATAACTGGTGATAATGATTAGGACCACAATAAGTTGCACAATGATGTGCAGTGCCACTCCTTAATTGATCCCTACCAAGATGTGTGGCCACGTCTAGATAGGTAACTTATGGCAGATAGTCTACAACGAACCTGTCCTCAAGTTAGCTTTTATGGCAATGGCAATAAAATAAAATAATGAAACAGAGATATAGTTCTATCAGGGGCTCTAGCAGCTCTGATAGCAGAATAAAGTCTTTATATATGGTTTCCTCTGATATCAGTTGCTGGAAGCAGTCAGCCAGAGTTATCTCTCTCTCACACACACAGAGGTATCTGTCTGGCTGCTGATGGAAAAAGGATGCTAAGCAGACACTGCATGACCCTAATAAGATACTCACTCATAAAATTTTACTCAAAACAGATCTCCATTGATTTCAATGGAGCTAATATAAAGCAAATATCAATTAGAATGATATGGGAATTATTTCTATTACTATACCCTTTTCCATAGATCACTAGCAAGACGCTTAGTTTATTGTTAAACCAAGTTTAGTTGAACATTATAGTGACCATCCAGTATATCATTAAAGTATCACCTCTTTAAGCACCTCTTAAGACTGTAATAAGTTATGATCCTTAGATTCGAAACTGTAATCAATTAATAGTTGTTCAATAAACAATACTGTGATTTTTAATGACACATGAAAAACTTCATACATTTTCTCTGTCATCTTTTTTTAAGACCAAGAAGGCAGAAGGATTGATATATATGGCTTTTTTTACTCAGAATCATTGGCTTTTAATCATCTTCTAAATCTAAGTTCCTCTCAGACCTCAGCAAACATTTGATAACCAGATAAATCTTTATTAATCAATGGGTGGAATTCGTGCACATACAGTATTTTCTTTGCAACTAGGATTTTATGTATGACAAAGAATCTCAATTTTGTAAAGGCTCCATTTAGGGCATAAAACAACTTTTGCACTTGGAAGAAACTAAAATGGAATTTTGAACAAAACTTTGGATTGTATTATAGGCAGTATTCGACTATCACAATTCCTTTCTTCCTCTCTTCCTTAAAATGATTTTGGTATCATGAGAAATAATTTCTCAAGCAATTAAAACAATTCCTTGTTAACTATTGCATTTGACAATGAATGCCGTCCAATTTGATAACTTCACATTCAAATGCTGAACAACGAACAGACTTATATTGCAATTTGTGTGCTGGGGCTGAGGAAACTAAATTCAGAGGACAGATAGCTGGTAAGAATAGTAAAGGCTTGATTCTGAATAAGCATCAATGTGGTAACGAAAGGATTATGTGACTTTTTTCTCCAATGCCTATTTTTCTTAATAGTAAAAACAAAAGAAAACATAAAACAGAAAAACTTTTCTAATTTCTTGGCTTAATATTCATTGTAAAGATCAGGCATTGTGAATGCTATTTATAAACAGGCCACAACTGTAGGGAATTTGAGCTTAAAAAGAGAAAAGGCTTTCTCTTTACATTATAGATATGTATGGGGGTGTGAGACATAAAAGATTTAAAGATACCGTTGGCATGCAAATTCCACTTACTGTGACTTTTTTTCAATCCACTGATACAGTTGAAATCCTCAGCGCTGAAAGATTCACTACAGAGTCCAAGCGTTGGGCTTAACGGATTCCACAAAACATCTGTATAGTTCAGATCAACCTATATTTTTTCAAAAGTAAAAAGCTTCCAGACTGACCTCATAGAATGGCAAGGGAGGTAGAAAATAGTCAAAATTACTTCTCTGAATACTCTGGCTGTGTATACGAAAAGGGAGGGACGGCAAGAAGGGGGAACCCACCCAGAATCCGTCTCAGCCACCACCAGCATAAAGTTCAGATTTCATAGCTGAGATCATTGCTCTATTCTCAGCACTTTTGCTCTATATGTGCGATTCTGACCAAAACATATTCTGCAGCTGGAGGGAGCCTTAACTAAGTGGAATTTAACCAACCTTTTCCTTGTTACTTTTGTCTACTAAATGCAGGATGATGTTTTGTGAGACGGGGCCTCTGAAAAGTAGGTCCAGATTGCTTCAAAAGTATTTCCTGCTGTTGAGTAATAGGCATTGAAAGTGTGTGCATGTGTGTGTGTGTGTGCATGTGTGTGTGTGCGTGTGCGTGTGTGTGTGTGTGTGTGTGTGTGAGAGAGAGAGAGAGAGAGAGAGAGGGATGGGAAGCACCATCTGATTACACATTCAAATCTGATTTACAGTATTTATTACAGCATTTCCTAATTTCCCAAATTTTCTAAGTGTGGCATTTTATAAACACAGGCACATGTTGTGAACGTTAATTTCCTTAACTACTTCCTTAATGCAAACACACAATGCCTACAGAATGCAATTCATACATGCTATGCACACAAGCCAACTTTTAAAAAGCAATTTAGTACAATTAGCAAAGAATGAGACAGTCAAGAAAGAGTTAAAAAAAAGGATAGATAATATTTCAGATCAACAGCCTTTACTGTTCTTATAGATTAGGCAGATTAATTTTAATGACAATGTTCTATCAACGAACTGACAAAAATGAAGAACAATGACAGAAAGAACATCAAAAACTGGCATTAAAATTAGTTAGTTCATATGTGCATGTACCACGTTACCTCTGTGGAGAATTCTCCAGACTCTGGGAAAGCACAAAGACTCCATCTTGATCACATTTCAATTCAGTTGACATAAAGCACTTGTAACTCCTCTTTTGCAATCTGACAGAGGGCTTGAATCATATCTCTGAAGCTACCCACAGCATCTACATCCTCCATTCTATACAGATTTGGTGAAACTATCTGCTGTTTATCTTTTCTACTTCTTCTGCCTCCTCAGAATGATTTCCTCTTAGTTCTTCCAGCCTGGGAACTCAGATTGCCATTTGGTTTTGATTAAAACCAGACAGACAGCTCTGTCAAAATTTGAGAGTAAGTTAACGGAAAGCGCTGGCATGGTTTTAATTAGAGTAGCAATTAATAATAAATGTTAACTATTTACACTGCACATGCTATCAGAAAGAATCCACATTATTTTTAAAGAGAAGAATGCTGCAATTGGGGAGTGGGGTTTAACGAGTTAACCTGTTTGGCTTTATTTATTTATCAATTTAATACAATGCATCACAGAAAGGAGCTTTCTTATGAATTCTAAACTTAGGATAGAGCTGAATTTGTGGAAAACTTTTAATACTGAGCCTGATAAAATTGTTGAAGCTACAGGAGATATACATTTTGTATACTCACTTAGGAAGTACTGAAATGCATGGAAGGTATTCCCCCTGCAATTATTATTGTGGTTGCAGTTTTAAGCAGATCTACTGGTTGCAGTCAGCCAATAAGGATTTGGAAGGAGGCAGAAGATTAAGGGGGGGAACTCATGTCATTGTAGAATGGAAAAAGCATCAGGTTACAGAGGACCTCACTCTCAATTGCAAATTATTAGATCCTGGTGGTACACCTTCTGGTACTTCTTTGGCTCTGGAACAAGATGCAAGTAACCAAAAATAGCCATGGAGTTGAACCTCATACAGTATAAAAAATTATACCACATTGGTAAGCGCAAGTAATACCAATAGGTCTTCACCAACAATTGCTCCGTGTTCAAGTCACATAAAACAGGGGTTCTCAACCTTGGCAACTTTAAGACTTGTGGACCTCAACTTCCAGAATTCCTCAGCCAGCAAAGCTGGCTGAGGAATTCTGGGAGTTGAAGTCCACAAGTCTTAAAGTTGCCAAGGTTGAGAACCCTTGATATACGACCTTTTATCTTGAATATATCTGGGCTCAAGTCCAAAGTAGGTGTTGAACAGATAACTTGAAAGTTATTATGTAGGAATTCAGCTTGTGTGCTTGACGTTAGCTTTTGTAGAAGAACAGAGTCCTGGCTAAATATGAGGGCAGTTGCTTCTGACTGGGATGACACATAGGAAAATGGAGTGACCACAAACTTTAAAATTCCATCTTATTTTCCGGGTGCAATAATTTAGATATTTCTTTGTGTATATAAGTTGAGGGGATCATGGATACATTCCCGGTGAGCACATGATTTATAAAGAGGAAGGCAAGCTGTTGAGCTTTTTGAGAGCATTCAGCAGGGTGGAGGACACTGCCTACTCATATCCAGGCTTAAGTACCAAACTGGGGTTAGCTACTGGTAAGGAAGCCAGGAGAACTAATTGCAGGAGAACAATAGGGTAGGAAATTGGCCTGTGTTCATTTCCAGTTTGCAAGAGCTTCAGAGACATTTAGTTGGCGACTGTGGAAACAAACTTTTGGAATAAGCTGGATCTTGGTCTGACCCAGCAGTGTTGCTCTTATGTTCTTAGGACCAAGTCCAGCATTCAGTTCACAAAAGAGCTGTGAGGTCTAGTATTTAAAATATCAGTCTCCAGGAGGAAATATTTATGGTAAGATTGAAGATTGCTCTACCAGTGCAGTTCAAAGTTACTGTGAGAAGCATTTGCAAGAATAATTTCAGCCCAGTTAATTCAGCAGAGTAATTAGCCTAATCTAATAGTTTGTTCTGCTGGGGAAAAAAAGGTGGTTTCAGTTTGTAGAGAAAGACTTTAATGCTGGATTTAATTGGTGAAGCCACATCTTTACCTGGAAGTGAAACAAAGCTTCTGTGAAGGTCAGACCCTAAATAGGACACTCTCTCTTTGAAAGCTGCCAGCTGAGTTAAGCAATAATGAATACAATCACCCCAAAATTAATAGATGTGTTAGTTTAATGCTAACAGAGAATAAATAGTGGAGACAAAGTGAGCTATAAAAGGCTGCCTTATATCTAATCATAGCACTGATCCATGTAGCTCAGATTTGACTAACTTTCCATGGTTTCAAACATGAATATTTCACCAACAGGGATGGCAACTGCACATGCTGGAATACGCACCATTGTTCACTAGTCTTCTATCTCCATCTTCTTTTGTTGTTCTGATTGCCCAGTGACCATTCCCAAATTAATGGACTTTTTTTTTAATAAGTGGCAGAAAATGTCAAGTGTCAGGCTAATATCTCAATACTAAGTAAAGTCCCTAAGCCATGGACACTTAGTTTGTGAATGTAGTAATCTTATGATCTATTCATTGTTATAGTCCATGGCAGCAGGAAAACCCACATGATGTTTATAATGTACTACATCATTATATTATGCCTGAAGTTAGAATGTAAATCATAAACAATGAACAGTTAATTGGCTCAATCTCAATGAGAACATATCAAACCAAGAAAACTATTTTGCCTCTACACATGAAATTAGCATGTGTCTTCAAATATTTCCTTTGGAATGTTACAGGAATGGCAAAAGACATCTGAAATAAGATTATTCTTTGTATAGCCATAAAAATTGTTCAAGAAGGAGTGGGGGTTCACATGGAGGAGAGGAGCTTGTGAGTACGATTAGATAACCCAGAGCCTTATTCAGCAACATAGAAATGCTAGCTCAGTAGTCCAGCAGATGTTATACATGTAGTTCATGCTAATTTCAAACCTGTAATGAACAGAATCAGGTGACTGATAAGCAGAAACACTTCCAAGAGGATATGATATGTAAGTCTGAAAATATGATACTTGTAAAAATAGACTGTAAAAGGCAACTTGCTTTGTTCCTAACAAGAATATCAGATTTTTTTAAACAATTCAAATTCAATCTATCAGATTTCAACAGAATTCAGTTATTTCTTTGAATAGCACATTTCTTCACATTTTTCAAAACACTTGGCAACAGTGCAATGTGTTCAAAGTTTGTGTATATTGGAGAAAGAGATGTATCCAACTGATACACACAGCAACAGCTTTATATGGCATCTGATTCACAGCCCTTCTGGGCTGTTGATGTACACTATGGGGTGGGAGTGCTCATACAAATGCTTTCTTGAATATTCTTGCATTCTAAAAAATTTCACTCCCCCCAAATGTAGCAATTCGTAAGATGTAAGGCTAAGATGGATGGGTGCAGACTTTTGGTATATATCATTACTTTCTAAATTGGAAGAATTTGGCTTTTATAGTGAATTGTGGCATAGGATGGATATTCTAATGAATAGTGAAAATGCTGAAAAACAGCTGTTTCCTAGGAAAGTTAGGGGTAGCCTTCATAGATAGCTCTCAAACGTGAACTACCGTAATTTCCGGCGTATAAGACGACTCGGCGTATAAGACGACCCCCGACTTCGGTACCGATTTGCATGCTTTAGAAAGTCGTCTTATACGCCAGAAAATACGGTAACTACAATTTTATTTTTCTATTAGTTGACATGACCAGTACATATTTTCCTTTAATTTTCATAGATGTCATAAATGTAGGTTAAATATACTTTAAAATACATTATGGGCATGGAATGCCACTCTCATGTACTTTTCTCAAACCAATACATGAAAGGCAACATTTACACAAAGTCTGCCTTTCTGGATTGGCTTAGTCCCAACCATGGTTATCATAGTGAAGAAAGGCCATTTCTTTAGGAAGCAGACTACTAGTTTTAACTGTCAATCTTATTTCTTCTGAGGTGAGACATTCTCTCCTTCTGACAGAATGATAATGGATGCAGCGAAATGCAATAGCATTATTTAGATTGTGGCCCATTTGAGAACAGACAGGCCATTTATTTATCAATAACTCAGTGTTTTGATCTTTGCTTTTCCTGAACCCACAAAATATGTTTTTGTTATCATCCCATCCTGTGGTGAGAATCAGATACTTCATTTGAAAAGAAGCATTGGGACTGTTTTCAATTTGCTACATTTCATTGGCTACCGCTAAACCTAATGAGGTCAAAGAGTTCACTATCTGTGAATGTCTGCAGACCAAATGTGATTTTTCACATGGTTATTAGGGGTTGGTTTTTGTTTTGTTTTTTTTGTTTTTGCTAAATCAAAGTCTGAAAAATATTTCTGGCCAAAATGCATTTTCATACTATTTGAAAAAAGGAACA